CCTGCCCGTTCTTGTCCTGCCTGTATCCAACCCTTGCACACAATAACATTCAGAAAGATAAAAAAACCAAAACTAAAAAAGCAGACAACAACTACAAAAACAGTCGTGGGTGCTGCTTTCCTGAGAAGCTTTTTGCTCTGCTTGTTAATTAAGCAAACAACAACCCAACAACCCCCAAATGATTAATTATTAACTCATCTTTGTTGGTTGCCAGCAAAAGAAAAAGCGGATAACACTTCTGACTAACTAGAAAACCTGAATCCACACAATTCCTTGCAAGAGCATCAAAACACAACTCTTTCCCTGAATTTTAGAAAACTGCCCCGCTGACTACCCAAACTCCCACGGTCTTCAAAATCTTTAAAAGTATCCGTCAGTGGATTTCGCTCTCCTTTTTATTGTCTTGATTATTACTATTTAATCTTTCACCTCTTCAGTTATGGTCTTATGATTGGGATTTTACATCTTAAATGAAAATGAAACTGATGAACATAAAGTAAAAGGCTATCATAAAGTTTATACACCACTAAAAGTGATTCGCTTTATGATTTACTGCACCACTGCGCACTGGCAATTACAGATGTAGCATAGCAGCTTTACAGCATCCAATGGAAGCGTTGCCTAAAAGATAACTGAGGTAGCTATTCATGTGTTATCACAGTCAAAATGCAAATAACATCATCCAGGGCAAGTGAAAGTAGAACAAACAGTGTTTTCCAGAAGATTATGAATTATTGTAAATGATTTCAGGTCCACTTTTGAATCTCCTTTAAAATGAAAGTACAGACACAAAAGGACATGAGTTGATACACAGGCTGTTTTGTGATAGGAGAACCGATTAAAACGCTGCTTGATCATTTGTTTCAGGACTACAGGACAAGTTGAAACATTGTAAATTACTGTTGCCAACATCTCTGCAGACCCAAAAAGAAAAAGTAAAGGTGATAAAGGACATTAAAACAACAGCTTGCTGTTGCAGAAATGTGTGCGGTGCTGGGACATGTTCGTGCTGTTTTTCATCTGCTGATTTTTGGCAACTAATGCTTGTTATTGTGCAGGACATGCCGTACTGTGCTAAAGTCTTTTGATAACCTTAATTTCTCTTTATTTTACTGAGGACATTGGGGAATAGATGGTGTGATTATTTGAGATATGCACAAGCATGAATAAAGAAGGCAAAAACAGAGTTTATACAATTCTAAAAAGCTTGAAATTCAATATTTGGTTTCATCACCTTTATTCTTTAACACAGTCTGAACTTGCTTAAAAAGCTTAGCAGTCTTCAGGAATAGTTCTCCAGGCTTCTTGAAAAACATTCAAAGCTCTTCTTTGGATATTGGCTCCCTTTTGTTTCGTTCTTTGTCCCATACTGCTTCAGTAATGTTGATCTACAGGTATTGGGGAGGCCAATCCATGGCCTGGTGTGTTTTGGGAATCACTGCATGCTGAAAAAGTGTTAAGTGGCTTAACAAAATAAAGAAAAGGAAAAGAAAAACATCCCTCTGGTAATGGTCTAGTATGCACAAATTAGTGAACCAGTAGAGTTCCAGTTTACATGAATGTTTTTCAGAAGGTATGAAATTCCAAAAAAAGCTAACTATTATTGGCACAACAACAGGCAGGGCTCACAATATGGGCGTGGCTGCAATGAATCTATAAACTTTGTATCTTCATACACCAATTCAATATCTGACCACAGGTGAAACATGATGAAACAGTGTGTTTCTGTCCCTGAGGTAAGGCCAGAAATAGTCTTTTGCACAAACGTCATAATGTCACAATAATGTTAACTTTTTATTTTTGGGATGCATCACCACGTCATTGTGTCCTGCTGTGCAGCGGCATGAAAACAACAAAACAAGCTGTAGTTACTAAATGTACATGCAAAAAACAAAACAAAAAAATCTCTGAGGAAACGAGGAACTCACATTATTTTTTCATAACACTGTGAATGGTTTTGGATTGCATGCAGGCTGTTTCAGTAGCTGTAATTTGTATTTTTCTGAGTCATACTGCAGTAATACAAACAAAATGTTACTTGTTGATGTCTTTGCTGAAATAAAAAAGGCCTTCCTCGAGAAAGCTGTCATCTGCATTTTGCTCTAAAACCCATATATCACCGCCAGGATTTCGAGAACCCTCACTGTTGTGCACGCCACCCATGCTATGTAGACCGTAACACCACTGATGGCTTTTAGATGATTAAAGGTGCTTGAAAAAATGCAGCTGTTATTGGATTTAATGGGCGCCCTGGTGATATCTTGTATGTATTCACTCCTCCATGGACGTTCTGTGCAGCATGCAGCGTGAAGGTGTGCATCTGTCTCTTGATTCTCTCCCTGTTTCACAGAAATGAAACTCATGGAGCATGTGCAAACATTGAAGTAAACACCAAGCGCATTATCATGTAAATGCAAGACACGTGTGCATACACTGTTGCAAAACTGCATTGCTCAATGTATCATTATACAAATTTAGAGTACATCTGCAATGCATGCAAGGAAATCCAACACTGACATGCAGCACAAGCAGAAGGAGCTGTGGCATGCATCCAGTGTAATAAAATGAATGTTTCTCCTCAGGGCTAGAGCCTTTAACTGGCCTAACAACACAGAGCAGAGACAAGTAGACCCAGAAGCATTACAACAGGCAGATAAGCGTACGAAAAGTTTGATTAAGCTTGTGAGGTATTCTCTGAGCGCAACCAAGAAATGCACAATTTATGAGCCAAGCAGTTATTTATCAAATGCAGCAGTCGAACAAAGACTCAGTAGCCTGTTTGAAGGTCAGCTGTGCTGCTGCCTCAGAAGACAACAACCCTGATAGAAGACCGTGAAGTTTCACAATGAGCCGTGAGATCAGTTCTTAAAAATGTAAAGTGATGATTGGCCTTTCTCAAACATCCTCTTCAGTTCTGTGAATTGTTTAAATTTGTATGTGTTACTACAGCAACTTGCACATGGACACTAAAGTTTTCCACGGTAATGCTGTGTGAGGGGGTGTGCGCCAAATCCCAACAACAGTCGCTTAAATATCCTACACAGAGAAAACAGGGAAAACTCCAGCAATCAAACAACCAACGCCCCGTGAGCAAGAAATTGGCCACAGTGGAAAGGAAAAACTCCCCTTTAACTTGAAGAAACCCCCGGCACAAAGAGGTTGGAGTTGAGGGGACAGAGACGAGACAAAAGATGCAAAGCTTATCATGGATGTGAAGCTCAAGAGCTCACAGACAGAGTTGGGACATATTTAGAACTATTACTTCTGCTCGTGCAAGCACCAGGCTGATCAGACTTGTCCTGTTATAAAAAGAAACACGCTCACACTCCTCACACAGTCTGCCTCTGCTATCATATGCCTAACCGTGTGCATGTTCCTGCCCCTTTAAGTAATTCACATCAGCTGATCTCCAGCCTTTTCCTTAACTTTCAGTTTACTCGTTTTCAGCCTGACAAAAATGACCTGCTGAGGACCAGTTCCTCTCTCTGTAATGTGATACTGAGTATCAACAGCTGCCACCAATAGTTTCATTTCTCTATGTCTGGCAAAACTGTACTGAGAGACTTGAATGCTCGCAGCTGTACGAGCAGAAAAGTAAATTTGCCCTCTTTGTTGTTCTTCACGCTGCAACGCTACTTCTTTAGAAACTAAGCAGAAGTGACCTCACTGACCACTTTGTCATTTGTGATACAAGCCAAGCCGAGAAGTCCTCATTCCAGATAAAGCATCGATGAAGTACTTTATCCGCGGTAACAAGAAATCTGGGAATTCTTGAGTTCAATCGGGCATCAAATGAAATTCAAATTTATTGCCAGATTTCTCTGAAAACATGCTCCACGTTACAGGAAACGCAGGAAGAAATGCACCTCGAGAAAAACACTAAAGCAAGGTTTTCTTTAGGATTCAAACACGAATGAAGCGCCACAGCTGGCTGCTGCTGCCTCCACGCCATGTTACACTTGAAGACTCACACACAGACACGGGCACACACTCGATTGCTGTTTCACAAACTTATTGTGAAACAAATGGCAGGCATAGTACCCTTTTCTGAGAAGTACTACACCTCACATAATCTCATTGGACAATCAGATTTGAATATTCAAGATAAGACATAAAAAAGCCACCACAAGACTCCAGTTAAAGATAATTATTAACTTTAATACAACCACTAGCTATCTGAAGATCTGATGACTACATATAACTACTCACCTTAGCTGCAAGGAAGTGAAGTTCTGCAAGAAAAACAGTGAAATTACTGGAAGGATGTCATGCTGTGCACATTTCTGCAATGAATTACCCCCAAATGTAAAGACCCTGCAGAAAAGAGCCAAATACAAACAACAGAGAGTTACATCTGCAGCATAAGCATGACTAATTTACAAGCCCAGACCTGTTTTGCTAAATGTGCATGTATGTTTTCTTTTTAACATTATTTCTGCAAAAAGATGTGCAAATTTGCACTTCTTCGACATGTTAGGACACAGGAATGCTACATGTCATCTTTCGCCATTAGTATTTGATGGAAAGGGAGATGCTTATCAACCTGCAGGGGCAAAGTTACAAAGAAAAACAAAACAAAAGGACTGATCCTGATTGTTGATGCCATCTCTGAACATGAACCGGCATGCATGTTTAGGCAAACAAATCTGAATTTACATCATTTGAATTTTTTTTTTTCAAAAAAAATATATAATTAAGAAAAACTACAAAAACTACAACCCCTAATGACGAAGTCAATCTAAACACCAACAAAAACTGCTCCCATTACTCGAATATACCACCTCTTTCTGTAAACGTCCTGCTGTCATGTGGCTTTGCGGTTTTTTTTTTTTTTTAATTCTTGAAATTTCAGTTCAAAGAAGTGAAAGAGTAAGCTAGCGATCGTCCTCTCTTAGTTTCACTTTCGTTTCTAGGAAAGGAGGAGGAGGAGGCGGAGGCGGAGCAAAGCCTGTTAAAAAGCCTGTGAACTGTTTACCAGGCTTCACACACACAATCTAACGGCTGGAGCTCAAAGCCCAGAAGGTGTAAAGGTTAACCCCAAATGCAACTGTGCACCCTGCATCCTGACAACCGAGGGATTATTTGCAAGGAATTCTGCTCTTTGCCATCACAGCTTTCGCACTTTGGGATTACAGACCATACGGATCCTTAAACCGCTACATCAGTCAGAACAAAACGGTGAGCCTTTATTTCTCTCCATATATATATTAAGAAAAGAAAAAAGAAAAAAATGATATATTTGGTTGGGATGCTTTTGGGGGGTGGAAAATGGCGATGGAGAATAGTAGCTGCTTTTGTTTTATGGGAAAACAGCGTTCAGAAAAATGTTAAACCATGGATCAGGCTCAGGTTTCTCTGAGCGCAGTCTGGCTGAAGTGAACGGTCAAGTATTCGTCTGAACGGCTTCAACATGCGATCGTTAAGAGTAAACGGCCGGATATCAGCACAGGTCGTCACCAGTGTTAATCATTACTCTTTCCTTGAATTTAGCTCAACTTCCATCCACTGGAAGTTTTTTTTTCTTTTCCTTTTAGATCATTCGCGTTAAAGAAGGAAGGAAAATACCATTAATCACACACAGGATACTGTTGATTTTTTATGTATAGCTTATAAGAACAGGATGCTTTAAAGAAATCAAGTCAATGCATTTTAGTGTAAATATTTTATCTGAATTCTTAGTTATATGATGCTTAAGTCATTACAGAAGAAGCAGTAAAATACTTTTGTGTGTGTGTGTGTGTGTGTGTGTGTGTGTGTGTGTGTGTGTGTGGAGGGGGGGGGGGGCATACGGATTGTACAGTAGTCTGGCTGTGGCAACCATCACTGTCGATTTTATGCCGGCTTAACCGCAGATCCAAGTCATAACAAAGCTGAACTGCTCAGTGGAAACTACAAGGCGTTTCTCGTCTATCTGCGCACACCAGCGCTCTTTGTGCTTTGAGAAGTCTGGGTTTTTTTCAAAGCTGCTGTGAAAGTGATGCTAGCCTCAGTTGTGAGTGAAAAAGTCAATGACCTTTCTGTCTGTTTGTTTCTCAGGATGTCAGTGTGGTGGTTAGAGATGGGAGAGGGTCTGGGGCCTCTCTCCCCTGTAGGATGGTAGCCGACGGCACGGTCGAAGGCCATGACAAGACCCGCTTGTCAAGCTTGTCGTCATCATCATCATCCTCATCCTTGTCTTCCTCCTCCTCCTCAACACTTCGCACCGAAGTGGAGCAGCTTCAGCGTCAAGCCAATCAACACCGTAGAACGCCCTCCGTCTATCTGACTCACTTTCCGACGTTCACCTGCAAGGAGGACTGCAGAATCATCACAGACACAGCATCCAAGCTCGAGCGCTGCGGCTTCTACTGGGGTCCCCTGGGAGTGGAGGACGCTCACCGCATGCTTCGGGACGCCCCGCTGGGCAGCTTCCTCATCCGTGATAGCCGTCAGAAAGACGTCTTCTTCACGCTGTCCTACCACGCCAAGACGGGACCGGTCAGCGTGCGCATTGACTACAAGCGCCAGAAGTTCTCACTAGCGGGCAACCTGCGGTCTTTCCAAACACTCTTTGCCCTCTTGGAGCATTACATCAATTCTCCTAAGAAGAGCTTGAGCGTCCCTTACAGGAAATGGGAACCGACGCTGCAGGAGCTGTGCAGGAAGCGCATCTTGGAGCTGTGTGGAGGGGCAAGCCAGGTTCCAGAGCTGCCGCTCACACATGTCGCCCAAGACTTTCTGTTGGAATTCCCTTACAAACTGTAACCAGCTTACCATACAAACTGTTGACAGTATTATTTATAATTTCAAGAAGGTCGCCCTTACCAAGTAACAGCAAGGGATTGGTAAAGCCTGTCTGCGACTCAGTGGAGATTGAGACTGCTGTGATATGGTTACAGGGAAAACCCTTTGAGCTGAAAAGCTCCCAAATGCTCGAAAAGGGAGAACACGTTAGCAGTCGAGTGCAGACAGCCTCCAGCTGGAGTGGGTTTGTGGCTGACATTTCAACATATATTACCTCTAGAGACTCAACTCCCAGTTTCACATGGACAGAGCACCTGTTGCTCTTGAGGAAGTATGAAAAGTTGGGATGTGCTGCATTAAAAGAAAACTACAGACACAACAGAGCTATTTTAGAGATGAAAGAACCGGTGGGCTCGCCTGTGAATGCCGCCGTTCCACTGGAAACTGTAGTCCAACATAAATATTATCCAAGGACGTTAAGAGAGCGGACATTTAGACGCATGGAGGGATGGCGGAGGGTACTGTTGCCATGCCACAAGGGAGATATATTTTTGTAGCAGGTTTAAATACTCTAATAATGTGGAATGTTTACATCACACATGAATGTCAATCAGCACTGACTCTCGAACTGTCATCTGTCTCATTCTTGAAAACCCAACGGAGGATGTCAGTGTCGAAGACAGGCCTCAAACACATGTACTGTAACTCTTAGCTCTCCTGTCTCCCTCACAAAGCTCACATGTGAGAGTTTCGTGACTGAATTGAACATATTTTTTTAACATGTCTTATTATTCTATTTTAAATAAAGTATTTAAACTCACTGCGATAGTTATGTTTTACTTTTTAACTTTTCCTGTCATTCCGCACTGACTTGTGGGAGTTTTGTGGGAGTTAAGTGAGAGAAGGAGGGACACACACACACACACACACACACACACACACACACACACACACACACACACACACACCCTCACATTACAGACAGACAGACAGACACGAGGAAATGGGGAAGGTTATTGTACAGTATACCGTCACTTGGTGATTCATCTCGGTAGGGCAAAGTGACAGGTGGGTGGGGTTACTTTGGTAGTAAATGGACTGTTACGCTTAGATACAGACACACTTACCAGAATCAGGGGGAGAGGTGACACGTAATGAATTGTGTGTGTGTGTGTGTTGCTTTTTCAATCTAATTTGGACCCAGTACAGATTAAAATGCTCTCAAGAGGAAGTGGGAAATTTTTGGGGTTAGTGGTTAGACAGATACATGATAGATCAAGGTCAGGCTTCGAGTTATGAGAAATAAACTTTGAGTAGGGTAGGAAATGCATTAATCGTATGTTAATGAACACAGTGAGTTGAAGTAATAAAAGAAATCAGGTGATAACAGTGAAGACAAACTAAACAACAGAAGCACTAACTTAGAGACTTGCTTTCCAATCAAAGCTGGGTTTGTCTTTTCTTTTGATATAATCAGTGCAGCAACAGCAGGTGGCACACCTGGCTGAGTGCGACTCACATGACTGGAATGTGTGCGTATTTTTTTAAAGGAAGTTAGCATTCACACTTCATTGTTACTACCACGCTGCCCTAAAATGAACTAAGGGGTGTGACTAATACCTGATGATAGTAATGCAACTGTGACTTTACACATACTTAAATAAAGCTGTAGAAGTAGCAGTAGGAGCAGCTCTAACTGAGCGGCCTCAGCCAATAGTTAAGGGACTTCCGTCTGAACCCACAACCAGACTTTTTAGACCTCAGTATGAATGGATTTAAAAGTCCTTGTTTTCCTGTTTACATGTTGAGTATCCGGCTTGTGAAGACATTCACAGACTGCCAAACACCAATGAATCTTTACAAGTGTGAGTGTACGCAGTGTGAACAGTTCACAGCTACCTGGCAATGGACTAAAGTATTGGGCCGTGCCACTTAATCTTTGGAGTCACATGTTTTCTGTCCCTTTGCTACAAGTGAATAAAGTCAGTCACCTAGAAATGTGGTTTGCCTTTACAAAGATTTGTGAAAGCCCCAAAGCTCACTAAAATAGAGTGTGGTGTTGTAATAGTAAGCCATTGCTGCGGCAACCTTTGGGGCATGGATTCCTATGGCTCAGCAGCTCTCGTGGACACAATGGCTCAGTACTTTTGGCCTACCTTCTTTTGTCCTACCTTCCAGCCTTCCAAGGCTTTTTCCTGTTGGCATGTGTACTGCTTAAAGGAAATCTGATGTAGTAGTAGAGAATGCTATGATGGTATCCGCTGGTTTACTCTTTGGTTTTTACAGAAATCAAAGTGAGGTGGAAGTAGAGCAGGTGATCTACTAACTGGAAGGTTGGTGGTTTGGCCTGGTTGGCTACTGGCGGCTCCAGTCTGCACGCCAAAGTATCGTTGGTGAAGAAACTGAAGCCCAGGTTGGTCTCTGATGTGTTCATCGAAGTGTGAATGTGTGTGACTCTCAGATAGAAAGCACTTAGGTGTGGAAAAAGTGCGTGTATTAATGGGTGAATGAGGTATGTTGTATAAAGTGCTTTGACTGCTGAAGCAGAGTAGAAAAGCAGTATATAAGAATCAGTCCATTTCCATTTCCAGATATAAAATAGAGGACGTTCACAAGTGACCGTATTAGTTGGTGTCAATTGTATACTGTCATATTGCTAATTACTGAAAGAACCAGGCTAGGTGTTAGCCCCCCAGGTGCCAGTTTCCCAGCTGATTAAGCCTTTCCTTTTCCTTCCTAAAGTCTGATTTCATGTAAACTGATGTTGCTTTTGTACATGTAAAACTGCAAATGCAGACTGTGTGGGAACTGTGATCTACATGTGACTCCAAAAAAGGTTTATCGCCTAAGAGCATCACAATTTGGCTGAATTTAGCAGTTTCATGACATTTGTGAGAGCAGTGTGTCACTGTTTCACACTGTGTGGAGCACATTTCATTTCTGCGCTGACGTTGTCAGCTTACCTAAACTCCTATCCTTTCCTCACAGCTAACCAAAACTCCAACGCTGAAAACCAAACCTTACCAATAAAGCTCTGTGTTCTTTAGGGGAATTTTTTTTGAGTCTAGACAATTGAAGCCACACACACACACACACAAACAAACATAAAACAATGAGTCATACTGAATATAATACTCACAGTTGATTCAAGTAAACTTGACTAGTTTGAGGATATAATTACCTCAGCTTGAGGAAGAGGAACACACACCAAGTCATAGAGTGGATTATGAGTAACGATAATGATTGTAATGCCTTTGCTTATATAGGCGCTATCAGTCATCCATTCTTATAAAGACTTATCTTAAAATTATATTTGATATTGACATTTGAGCGCAGGCTGTATCTCGTGGAGTGGGGAGGGAGTTGAAGGCTGGTGACGAGTGAGTCACACAGTAGCGCAGTTTCACTCTGAAGCGTCTTGGTTTTAAGGACATTCCTGACTATTTTGAGAAGTGAAAGGTGAAGTGAGGTGTTCTGCAACTATGTGCTTATCAGCTGATTTCTGTGGAATCCTCCGCGTGGAGTTTTCTGTCCTTTACTTGCACGCGCTTCTACAGAAATCAATTGACAATCAATGCCCAAGGGGAGAGAGAGAGAGAAAGGGACGCTCAGAATGAGGCTGGCGGAGAAGCGTAAAAAGAGGAGGTGTTGCATGACGTTCAGTATGAATGCGACGCTCCATTTTCAGAACTGTGATTCTGCTGTACTTTTAATCGGAGGGTTCTGATGAAAGAGATCCTCCCATCATCGCAGGACATGACTGCTTCTGCGGTGGAGGCTATTAGCCCCCTTTTAGCTTCCAGGCAGGCTGCTGGAGAGCCTCGCTGCTTGCTTGAGTTTTCTTGGACGAGTCTTTCCTGTTACTTCTTGTTGAGAAGTGATGAAAAAACAGATTTCCCTGAAAAATCATTAGTCATCCATTTCCTGTTTTCCATTTCCTTCTTCCAGTTCTTGTTAGTGGGGATATTTCACAATGAACAATGTGGTGATGGCAGATCTGTGGAAGTGCTGGTCATCAGATAACCACAACAAGCTTCAGAACTGACTTTGCCAAAAGTGAAGAGGCTCTTCACTGAACCAATCTTCTTATCATTTCACAGATGACCACGTTGTACAAACAGCTTTCTGGTCATTTTTTCAAAGAAGTAACTAAGGAGCAGAAGAGGAAGGGTCTCACACTGAATTGACGACACCAATCCTGACACTAGCTATAGCTACGCTCCACTGCTCTATGAATCACATGAGTCTGGTGAAAGCTGCAACCAGACTGGTTGGAGGAGGTAGAAGCGGTTTTTCTAGTTTTTGCTTCATACGTGGGAAAAATATGTTCAATGCTAATGACTAAATAGTTCCCAGCTAAAGCATTTCCAGACTTCTCTCATGAAAGACGAGGAACGCACACACAAAAGATTACATTTTTTCTCTAGACAATCACATTTGATCTGATTCCGTTGTTGGATTCAAGACATATGACTTTCACGAGAATAGCAGGTACAGTAGTAGCAGTAGCAGTTGAAAGAGTAGTAGGACAAATTTATATTATATATCCATATCATATCACTGTAAACCAACACAGTGACCTAAACAACCTACTAACCAAAGCTAACCAAATAAAGCAATCAAGATGTGATTGCAGTGCAGACTTTTAGCTTTAATGAATAGGGGTTTAACAAAGGTGCTAAGATCATTTTAAATCCTCCCTTGATGTCATATAGCTGAATCTGAGTACACTTCAGAATTCATCAGCACTCACATCTTCAATTAGTTGTTTCTCTCTTACTCTAGACTTTCCCCACAAATAAATCTCGGTTTCATGTGTCAAGAACTAAGCAGGCAAGTCTAATCTGGCCATCATGTTCTTGAGTGTACTGATATTCAAAGTATCTTCTCTCGCAAGATCTTCACAATCTAATGTAAAGATACCAAATGCAAGTTCAGAACTTGAAATCAACATCAGGTCTTTTACCCACTTAATATGTCATTGAACAACGAGGAAACAGGTCTCACTTGTAACTGCGATTCAGTCTATCGATCAATAAAATTCCATTAAATTCAATTTGTAAATGAGTTCTGTGTAGGAGTTAATTGCTGTAACTCCTAAGCAGT